CAGGTAGACTTCCCAAGGCTCTTGGCTCAGGCAGTGTTTTTTATTTTTTTGTCTTTTAATTTTTTTTTTTTTTTTTTTTTTTGAGCAGGCTGACAAGGCATCATGACATACATTTTTCAAAGTCTGTATCATTTGATTTCTTCCATGAGAGATGCAGAGTGAGAAAGAGAGCACCCTCCAGTGGAAGCCTCATGCTGTGATCCATTTCCAGCCTCAGCCAGCCCAGAGGCGCATGTGTGAACCCAGTGCCTGCAGGGAAACCTCAGGATGTGAGACCACCACCTTCACTGTGGGTCCAGTGTCACAGAGCATTGCCTTACCGCTGGACCACTATCACCAGCCAAGACAATTAGATGCACTAAAAAGGAAGGTAGGCAAAAAATGGAGGGGGAAGAATTCTTCAGAATGGCTGGAGAAATGATTCTGAGTACAGAAATGTATACCACCTGGCTTCTATGATGTGGCAGTTATAAAAGTGAGACTTGATCAAGTCTACTTCAGCTCCAGCTCTGAAAGGTGATATTCTAGTTATAGTGACTGCATAACAGATTTTCATAAAATGTTATGGCTTAAAACATCCATTTATTTTATTCATAGATTCTGTGGGCAAGGAGCCTGGGCAGGGCACAGCAGGGAAGGCATATTTCAATTCCACAATACACAACACCTCCACTCGAAAGGCGCAAAGGCTAAGGACTGGAATCATTTGGCCCAATTATTAACAAGAGGGTTTGATGTCCAGCTTGGTGATATGGTAACCAGGGTTCTTGATCAGCTGTGGCATCGCATGTGGCTTGGCCTTTCTCAGAACATCGTGGTTTTATCCCAAAGGTGAGCATCCCAATGGCCGTGTGGCCTTGAATAACCAACATTCAGAAATAAAGCAAGGTCATTTCCTCTTCATTCTATTAATTAAGATCATGACAAAGGTTTTCCCAGATTCAAGGGGAAGGATTATAGATCCCACTACTTGAAAGAGGAATGTCAACATTACATTGTAAGAAAAACACACGGGACAAGATATAAGTTGGGGGACCAGCAGACAGAGTAATGGTTACGTTGCTGGACTCCCATGTAGTTGGCTGCAGTTTGAGTTCCAGATCTGGTGACTTAAAATTCATGTTGGGTGCGTGTGCACACGTGCTCAAAATCCCATGATCATCCTTTCTAGGGGGTGATTTCTCGCTTTCTGTCTGTCTCTCTGTCTCTCTGGTGAGCACACGTGCCCTATAGCAAAAATCACTGAAAAAAAATATATAAGTTGATGTGATCAGTTATTAGAGTTCTCTACAGAAACAGAACCAATAGGCTATGTATTCCTCTAGAAAGAGGTTTATTTAAAGGACTTGAATTGGGGCCAGCAAATGGCATAGTGGCTACATCACTGGACCTCCACATGGTCGACTGCGGTTTAAATCTTGGACCTGGTGGCTTGAAAATCACATGGGGCACAAATATGTGCATCCCCAAGATCCCAGGAGGAGAATGGAGGAGAATGGATTGCAGCATGGCCATCCTCTCTGGGGGAGGTGATTTCTTGCTTTCCCTCTCACTGCCTCTCTGTAGTACGTGCACATGGCCTATGACAAAAACTTAAAATTTTTTTTTCTTGAGTCTGTATCAGAATATAACAATTTAGGGAACCAGCAGTTAGCGTAATGGCTGTGTCGCTGGACTCCCATGTAGTCGACCGCGGTTCGCGTCCTGGACCCGGTGGCTTAAAACTCACACCGGGCGCGTGTGTGTGTGTGCCCAAGATCCCAAGAGGAGAATGGAGGAGAAGGGATTGCAGCGTGGCCATCCCCCCTGGGGGGTGATTTCTCACTTTCTGTCTCTATGTCTCTCTCTGTCTGTCTGGCGAGCGCATGTGCCCTATAGTGAAAACCTCTCCAAAAAAAAAAAAAAAAAAGAATATAACAATTTAGTCTTTAAAACGTTAGAAGTTTAACTTTAGGTATACAGTTTTATCTAAATAAAAACCTAAAATGGTAAAAACTTCAGTAGGAAGTTTGCATGGCATTTCATTGAAGAGCTAAAACCATTAACATTGAAAGACATTTAATAATTCCTCCTCTAATGGTTTTTTTAATCCTTGGTGTTTAATTTAGTTTTTCCCCATAGCAGAGGGTGTCTTATCCTGATGTTTAATAGCTTCTACATTTTCAGTTAGTACTTTGCCCTACTGAAACACATTATTAATTACTCATCAGTGTCTCCGAATCCTTGCTCTTTGGGTTAATATTTCCATTGTAGCTTTTTATTAGAGGCAACTCAAGGATAAACTGAAGGACTTGACCATAGTTTTGCTATAATAGAAAAAGAAATCTTAACTCACGAAGGTTCTGTTTATTGAGATAAATTTTCCTTGAGCCTATATTCTTCTGCTGGAGAAAATAAGTGATTTTTAACAGTTGCAATCTCTCTTTTAAACCAAAAGGGTTAATCAGTTATAGCATCAACATGTCCATGAATAATTCATGCAGTCAGTAAAAATTTATTCAGGGCCTACCTTCAAGCTGGGTTTATAGAGATTAAAAAGCCATTGTCCTTGTCCACAAAGAATTACAACATTTTGCTTTTGTAGCTGCCTTTTGAATTTTTGAATTATTGGTGTTATTTGAGACTCCCTAGGCATCCCCAGCCCATGGACAGGAATGGTAGTCATTGCAATATGAAACACTGTAATTTCACTGGGTTTGCTCCCAGCTGGTGACACGAGACCCTCTGTCATTTGTACAGTCCCCACCAATATTTCTAGGGAGCCCTGGAGGTGTTGAAGACATGTTGGCGAACAAGTCTATTTCTCTGGCCTCTGCCAACCTCCCCTTTACGTTGCCATATGGATCTGTCTGTGGCCTACGCTATCTGGGGGCTGCGTGGCTATTACTTGCAAAGCTAGGGAGGATGCCTTCTTTCTTTTCTTTATTCTCTGCTAGGTTCAGAGTGTTTTGTTCCAGGCAGTTTGTCAGAAAAGACATTCTAGAAGATTCTCACAAATACCAGGAATGCTAAAATACAAAAACAAAAGCACAACTTTTAAAATGAGGGGATGAGTTGATAAGAAAGTAAAAGAAATCCCGAGTCCTGGCAACAGGCTAGTAAATCCAGGGAAGAAGCAAGAGCTGTCATCAGCTTCAGAGACCCCCTAGGAACCAGATCGCCAGAGTTTTTGATTTCAGAGCTGAAAACAGAGGTGGGGTGTGGTGGTGGGGTGCAGTGGTGATGGTGACAAAGGCTGCTGTGAAGAGATGGGGAGTGGATCTCTGAACACCCTACAAAGTTAGGACTCATGAAGAATTACCCAAAAAATCCTGTTAAAAAAGAGGACAACAAACACCTTGACCGTTCAGCTGCAATCTGAGTGGCTATGGGAGCGTCCATTGAGAATCCGCGGCCACCCCTCTTGGAATTTCAGGGCCCAAATTTACACTACTTTTATCATCTGACAGAACCTACGATCTTAAAGTTGACCAGTCTCTCAGATACCTTGTGGAAGTGAAGGCAAATCTTCCAAGGTGAAAGGTGCACTTAAACCCAGGCCTCAAAGGGTCCTCGTAGATCAGGTTCCACAGCATATGAGTGAATGGTAACACACACACACGCACACACATGCACACACATACACACAAGCACACACGCACACACACACACGCACACACACTAAAAACTGAATCTAGGCTGGCCCCTCAGCCTAGTGTAAAGGGAGCCAGATGCCACATGGTGATCACTGTTTGAATCCTGCCTCCAAAGCTGAAAAAACGTGTGTGTGTGTGTGTGTGTGTGTGTGTGTGCTCCAAATCCCAAAAGGATGGAGAAATGGAGGAGAAGGGATTGTGGCATGACCACACTCCACCAGAGACTCCAATCTGTCTTTCTTTGACAAGCACACAGGTCCTTTGGCAAAAAAATAGATCTTCAAAGACTTCAGATATTAGAAATATCAGGTAGAGAATATAAATTATGTTTCATATGCTTCTAAAAATAGGTATAGAAACTTAAGTAAAACTTAAGAAAGTGGAGACTGGCAGGTGGTGTGGTGGTTAAGGTGCTGGACACTCCCACATGGCCAACCATAGTTCAAGTCCCAGACCTGGTGGCTTGCTTTCTCTCTCTCTCTTTCTCTCTCTGTGTGTATGTATATGTGTGTATCTGGTCAAATTAAAATAAATGAATGAATAAATAAAACTGAATAAAAAATATTAAAAAAAAAAAAACGACTTAAGAAAGTAGCAAGATGACCAACATGCTAGTCCTTCTATACTTACCTGGCAGGGGAGATACCGTGATCACAAAGGTGGTTTTCCCAGGGCGAGGTTTATTCATTGCACCAGATATACTGACCCCTGTGATTTCCTGGGGAAACCTGACTGCATAATTTGTGGTAGTGAGGGACTGCATTTGCGCTTTCCCCCTGGGGAAGGGGGAAGAGAGAACTTGTAGAAAAAAACCAAGGGACTGGCAGGTGGCATGGTGGTAAAGGGCACTGGACTCCCACATGGCCAACTACAATTCAAGTCCCAGACCTGGTGGCTTGCTTTCTCTCTCTCTCTTCTCTCCCTCTTGCTCTGTCTCTCTCTGCTCAAATTGAAATAAATAAATACAGTTAAATAAAATAATTCTTAAAAAAATAAAAACAAACAAACACACATATATACTCATACATAGATAAAAATAACTGATATTAAAAACTTGATGGAGGGGACCAGCAGTTGGCGTAATGGCTATGTTGCTGGACTCCCATGTAGCTGACCGAGGTTTGAGTCCCAGACCCGATGGCTTAAACTCACGCCGGGTGCGTGTGCATGCGTGACCAAAATCCCAAGAGGAGAATGGAGGAGAAGGGATTGCAGTGTGGCCATCCCCCCCGGGAGTGATTTCTTGTTTTCTGTCTCTCTGTCTCTCTCTGTCTTTCTGGCGAGTGCATGCGCCCTATAGCAAAAACCTCTAAAAAAAAACAAAAACAAAAACAAACAAACAAACAAACTTGATGGAGGATTGGTTGAGGGTGCAGCAGAAATGCCATAATCTGGGATACTAAACCACATGGAAAGGTTTTTTGCTTTATTTTTTTAAAAGAATTATTTATTTCATTCCACTTGTTATTATTATTATTTAAATAAATTTGACCAGGCAGAGAAAGAGAGAAAGGGAAAGCAACAAAGTAAGCCTCCAGGTCCGGGACTCCAACTGCTGTCGGCCATGTGGGAATCCAGAACCCTTAACCACCATCCCACCTGCCAGCCCCAACACATGGAAAGGTTTTACATTCACGTCCTGAGGCTTCCCCTGCCCATGCTAGGTACATGTGTGTGCATATACCTATGATCCCAGCTGGCCGTGGGTAGGGGTGGACAAGGGAATGAATACCCTTTTGGGAGTGCCTGTCTTTTTATCATTCTTTGTTTCTGTCACTATCTGTTATGCAAAAAAATAAACTTACAAAAACTTTGATGGACAGATTAAACATAGACAATGCTGAAAAGGAAATTAGTGAGCTGGAAGACATCTAAAATTACGATGAGCACAAAGACAAGGAGATGTAAAATGTGAGAGACTGTAATATATACAGGAGACAAAAGCTGATTATACATTTAGAAAGAGTGATTTCCAGGCAGAAACTAAAGATAAAATGACAATTTTCTGTGATTAAAACACACGAAGGTAGAAGGGAAAACTTTTATGCTCAACTTTTGAAAATAGTCTCTAGAAGGTAAGACCAAGTTGCCTTATAAAGAAAGAAGTGTTGGGGAACCAGCAGTTAGCGTAATGGCTATGTCGCTGGACTCCCACGTAGTCGACCGCAGTTCGTGTTCCAGACCCGGTGGCTTAAAACTCATGCCAGGCGCATGTGCGTGCGTGCCCAAGATCCCGAGAGGAGGATGGAGGAGAAGGGATTGCAGCGTGGCCATACCCCCTGGTGGGTGATTTCTTGCTTTCTGTCTCTCTGTCTCTGTCTGTCTGGCAAGCACACGCACCCCATAGCAAAAACCTCTCAAAAAAAAAAAAAAAGAAAAAAAAGAAAGAAAGAAAGAAAGAAAGAAAGAAAGAAAGAAGTGTTGGGAGGGAGGGTTTATATACATTCATATATGAGTGTTATGTTAGTTTAATGTTTATTGTACATCTTACTCCAACAGAACAATTTTCTCTTTATCCTGGTTTATATTTGCTTATTTTTTCTGTCCTTCCCTGCCTTCACATTGAGCTTTCTTTATTCCCTTATTCCATTCTATTTCTGAAGATACACATTGTATTTATTTTTTTAAGAAAAGTATAATTAGCAGAATATTTTTCTAACAAAATATGCAGTTATTTAGTATCTTAGTCTCCTCCCCATCGAAAAAGGACTTTATCCCATTATTGACTGGACGTCCCCCTTCCATACCCCTTGTTTGTGCTGTTAAAATTGTAATTTGCCTTTTTCTCAATATTTTATTAATACTAGGAAAATTTCCCCATGTATCAAACATGAAAGAATTTTGCCATGAATACTCATGGATTTATCACTGCGATTCTATCGTTAATGTTTATCATATGTCTTTCTTTTTACTTATGCCTACCCACTAATCCATTTTATTTGCTGTGGCACTTTAAAAAAAAGTGTATTACAGATCTTTATATATTACAGAACTTCGCTTTTGAATAACAAAAACAAAAAAAGCTATTCTCATTTATGTCAATCACTATATAATTTGCCTTTATTTTTAGAGATTTTTGCTATAGGATGTGTGTGCTTGCCAGAGAGACAGAGATAGAAGGCAAGAAATCACTCCCAGGAGGGATGGCCACGCTACAATCACTTCTCCCAGGATTTCTGGCACGCACACACGCATTCAGCGTGAGTTTCAAACTGCTGGGTCTGCAACTTGAACTGCAGTCGCCCATGTGGGAGTCCAGTGAACTAACCATTCCACCATCTGCCGGTCCCAATTCGCCAATGTGTTTTACCAGTTTATTTGCTGGCTCATGAAGTTGCTGAGTTTTGCATTTGTATGAGTCTCTGGTCAGGGCTATTCTCAGTTTGTAGTTCCATGTAATTTGTGAGTGAGGGATATGGAGGGGTTGGGGGATTGGGAATGACCTGCTTGAATTTATAGCAAATTAGAATAAATAATCTTCAAGTAAAAGACTGGGGATTTCTTCCTAATTAAAACTATTTATGAAATTTATATCCATCTCAGCTGCTAAGAGATATTATGGGAATCTGGGACAGCTGGCCGTGTGGTGGTTAAGGTGCTGGAATCCCACATGGCCTACTATAGTTTGAGTCCTGGACCTGGTGGCTTGCTTTCTCTCTCTCTTCTTTATCTGTATGTGCATATCTCTGGTGAGCATGCATGCTCTATAGCAAATTAAATAATAATAAAATTAAATAATTATTTTTTAGAAAAAGAGATAAGGGAATCTTAGAATTTTTTTAAGAATTTTTTGCCTTAGGGCACATGTTCTCACAACGAGAGAGATAGAGACAGATAGAGACAGAGACAGTGATAGGGAAAGTGAGAAATAACCCGCTAGACTATTTCTTTTCTTTTTTTTTTTTTTCCCGAGAGGTTTTCGCTTATAGGGCGCGTGCGCTCACCAGACAGACAGAGAGAGATATAGAGACAGAAAGCGAGAAATCACCCCCCAGGGGGGATGGTCACGCTGCAATCCCTTCTCCTCCATTCTCTTCTCGGGATCTTGAGCACGCACGCACACGTGCCCGGTGTGAGTTTTAAGCCACCGGGTCCAGGACACGATCCGCGGTTGACTACGTGGGAGTCCAGCGACATAGCCATTACGCTAACTGCTGGTTCCCCTGCTAGACTATTTCTGAAATGACTGACTGGATATTCTAGGCTTTCTGGAGAAAACAGAATTTCACAAAGCGCTTTCGATATTATTTTATTATGATGATTAAAATTTATATTCTTTAGGGACCAGCAGTTAGCATAATGGCTATGTCGCTGGACTCCCACATAGTCGACTGCAGTTCGCGTCCCAGACCGGGTGGCTTAAAACTCACACCGGGCACGTGTGCGTGCGTGCTCAAGATCCCGAGAAGAGAATGGAGGAGAAGGGACTGTAGTGTGGCCATCCTCCCTGGGGGTTGATTTCTAGCTTTCTATCTCTCTCTCCCGGGAGCGTATGTGCCCTATAGCAAAAATTTCTCTAAAATAAAGCCCAAACTATGCTCTTTATAAAGAGCTACTGTAACATCCAATCAAATACAAAAGTATGACACCTGTAACAAGTAGCATTTAAACGTCCTAATTCAATTTTATTATGCAATTTCAGATGTAAAATAGGAGCAACTTTGTGTGATAAACTGTCTCTTTGGTCTCTAATGTGCATAAACAAAAGGGTTAAGTGCTGAATCATTAAAGACTTTTAGCTTAATGGGTTTTTAGCTGATAGGAGCTAAAAAGCTGAGCTGCTTCAAAATGAATCTCCCATTAACAATAGCTCTACATGGAAGAATTAACTTGAGAAAAATGATTCCTTTATGTGAGATATTGTGAAGTAATTTTTGTCTGATTCCATGGCAGAAATGTTTATGGCCACCACAGCGCAGAGAATGAGAATTACATCTTATTTTAGTTGAGGTGTACTTGATATACGGTGAGGAAAGGGAGAAAAGGGAGAAAAGGGAGCAATTATCTAACCATTTTTTCCTTCTCATCAAAGGCTTGTAAGAACATTAGGTTGTTACTCCTCTTCTCTTCTCTTCTCTTCTCTTCTCTTCTCTTCTCTTCTCTTCTCTTCTCTTCTCTTCTCTTCTTCTCTTGTCTTCTGTTTTGTTATAAGGTGAGTGTACTTCCTGAATCCAGAGAGGGACAGAGAGAGGGGGAAGGTGAGAAATCACCCCCCAGGAGAGATGGCCATGCCACAACTCCTTCTCCATTCCCCTCCCACATGAGTCTGGCATGATTCTCTCTTTTTTAGAGATTTTGGCCTGAGGGCATGTATGCTCTCAGAGATAGAGAGACAGAGAAAGAGAGAGGGAGAGGGAGAAAGTGAGAAGTAACCCCTCCAGGGGGAATGGCCACACTGCAATCCCTTCTCTCAGGATCTTGAGCATATATGCGCATAAGCCCAGTGTGATTTTCAAGCCACCGGGTCCAGGACTCGAACTACAGTAGACCATGTGGGAGTCCAGTGATGTAACTGGTACGCTATCTGCTGGTCCCTACCCTGCCATGATTCTCAAGGTGCCAGATCCAGGACTTGAACAATGCAGTCTATCAGGTGAGATCCAGCACCTTAACCTCCACCCAACTGTTGGCCCCAGGTTACTACTCCTTAAAATGGGTATATTCTAGGATCTTCTCTATTAATATTGTGAGCATTAAACAAAACATGGTTTCAATGACCAGCATGTGACCTTGGTTTGATCACCATGATTAAGAGCCTCAATTTTCTAATTACTGTTT